TAATGTACCTACATTGTATAAATCTATCTATACAATGTTTTTACCATATGTACAACTTGAAAAATTAGTTGAAAGGCAGTTATTTTGAATTCATAGGCATGTCATAATAAAGTAGACATTTTTAACTTTTCCTATCTCACTTTATTTTCAAAGTGCATTCAAAACATGAAAAATTAAAGGTCTTATATGTCTAACATATTTTAAATCGAGTGAAACGGAAATTGGTTTTTGTGATCTAGTTTCGTATAATACGTTAGACCTATGTTTTCGTCTTATTTCCTAAACACTAAAAATTTTTTAAAATTTTACAGTCATTTAAGTAGTTTGTAACTGCCTATTTACTGGGACTGCACTGAGGTAACACATGCCGTGTTACAGAATCTTAGGGTACCTCTCTGGTGACAAGCTTGTTGAGGCTTGACTGTCTATTCAAACAACAAGCTCGACCGTGTTGCACGTTACACCAGGATTTCATGTACTGTATACAGTGTATTTCTAAGTAGGTCTTATGTCTAATGTGATAAATATATATTAATTAACACTACTGGATTTCGATAAGATCCGTAGGGATGGTAAATGAGATAAGTGCATCTATTACGCCTTTTCTTTAAAAACAAATCTTGAGGATGTTCCGTCCCTTTTTTAAATTCAATTTTTGCTTCAAATTTTTCCTGTAACACCCGCTAACTTTTTCGTTGTGTGTTGTGCTTGTAAACGTGTATATACTTGTTCCGATTACATAACGACAATAAGATAAATTATTTTATCACAATAATCTGTCAATTTATTTCTGCTTGTAGTTGTCTCAATATGTATATTTTAAACTAGCGAAAGATTGAGCAGAGAATTTAGTATCAAATAATAAAAATGAAAATGTTTCTTAAATATTGCATCAGAAAGATCGTACATGTAGGTTTTTTTTTTTATCAAGATGCAAGTTAAATTTGTCTTTTATCGAACAAGCAATACACAAAATTCTTCATTGATAACGCAAAAATCTTAGTAAGATTGAAGTTCAGTTTCATGAAACATATTGTAATTGTCAAATTCAAGAATATATTTTCATAATTTAATACATCTCGAGTATCAATTTTAACAGGTGCAATACTCATTACAAACAAATGCGTAGTTAAAGCAGACAGTAACAAAACATTAGGACGGGCTTTACCTGTAATGTCGTGAACGTAGAAAGAGATTAGATAACAATCAAGATTATACATGTGGTAATACGGTTTTTTTTTTCAATAAAGAGAACAAGTGCACTACGAAGTTGGATATATCCTCGCACAAAGCGCAAATTACGTCACTTCCGTTCTACACAGAGACAAGCTAACATACCCACCAAAAAAACTAACTCAAAAAAGTGCGTAACTACATTTATATTCCCTTCAATTCAGTATGAAGAGATAAAAAATCTATGTTTATTTTTTTAATCTTTAGAGTATTAATGATTGATCGAAGTAATCATGATAGTCAAAATGAAATTTGGATTTGGTGGTAATTCTGTGAGATAAAAATTGGAAACTTTTAAATCGCTATATATTATTATTTTTACATTCATTGAAAAGTTTGTTATTGTAATGATTTAATATAAATTTCACACACAAAAATACATGTATCTTATAGAATAACAGGGTTTAATTAGTCATAATTCGAATTTTCTAAATCGAAGTTTTCCTGCCTGATTAATCACCACTACTGCACGAGCCCCGAAGTCGGCCACACAGATATCAAGGTTCCTGTTCTCACTGATGAATTTAGTGTAATCCGACAAGTACAGAGGTTTACCATAAAGATTACTGTCCAGCTGAATGGTTTGTTTTTCTGTGGAGCCAGAGTAACGGACAATTTGTAGAGTTTCATAATATTTTAATCTCAGATTTCTTCATCACTGAGATAAGTGATACTGTATCATGTGTATAGCGCCTTATACACAGTGTTTATAGTACTGACATGCTCTGACATGTTTGGACTTTGCAAAATATCTATTAATGAATGTTCATGTATAACAACTCGGCGTTAAACAATATACAATCAATCAATCATGTATACCAGAGGATAGACAGATTTAGCAGACAGGAATGTCGTATTTCTCACAGTAAATGTTTTTGACTGTGGTTTGGACATCTTGGGAAGGTAGGCGTAGACACTGTGAATTTGTACGGTACGACAATGTGTCTTTCTGATGAGTCAGACAGATGTTTCACTACACATGCTTTACAACGACTGTGTAATTCAGTTTTGTGACACAGGTGGCAGGGGAGTGGTGTTTACGCTCTGTCAACAGCGTGTATCACTAACAGATCCTAAAAGAAATTGCACATGGCAGTTATAAACTAGTAAATTTAAAAAATAAAGTTTTCATTCTGGTGGAAAAGAGATTAACCTTAAATTACTAGAAAAAAAAAACAGAAGAGCTTTTTCAAGGAATAAAAATATTTAGCACTTTCAAATGTATTATACATAATAATGTGAAATTGAATTAAATTTTTAATTTCTTCGAATAAAACCTTCATCCTCCTCGCAAAGATAAACAGTACCTGACAACAGGAATTAAAAATGGATTGCTAAATAAGAGCGGCTAGGGGAATCCTTATCATGGCCATTGATGATGTACTAGAGACACTTCAATTGCCAGATTACATCTTACATCAATGCGTTTATACATCAGCAGAGTTACACAATTTCTCACATGAAGAAAAAAAACAGAGCTATAACTACTATCATTCCAGAAAGAAAAAACCTCAACGTAAGATACAGTTTTAGTTTAAAAAAAGGAATTTGTATGAAGTGAATTAGACAATATTTGTGATTTAAATCTATTACGCAATAACGATTAATTTTACGTTTTGTTATTTGCCTTTTTCAGTAAGTTTAACTGCAGTTTTTGACATACTCTTATTATGCAATAAGCCATTCAAATAAGTTTGACGTAGTACGTGTTAATGTCATAATCTGGATTAAAGCGAGTATAAATTATTTTATTAAGTTTTCTTTTGAATAAAAGATTTCATAAAAATAAATAAAAAATATATGAATAGAGACATTCAGAGTCTGATTATGTCAATTAACATAAGTATATATTTATATATCGACACAAGTTCATCTATCACAGCCTTCATTGCATGGAGTTATTAAGTGTTTTTATTTTTTTAATGGGGATATGATTCAAGTCTTTCGAAGAGCAAACCTTAGTTGAAAGAGACCAGCTTTAATTTGGTATTTTGAACACTATCTTCCACGAATCGAAGTTGTTAATGTCTGCAATGATGGAAAAGATATTAATTTTCAAATAGCAGCCTGTGTGTTATTTTTATTAGTTTATAGCCACTTTGATAAGTGCCAAAAAGACTCTCGTCGTAACCGTAACTTAAGATGATCGTTTTTCGTTCAAAAATATTTTAATCATTTTAACGTTTGATTATAGATTAACAAAACTTCACATTAATTCCAAAATAAACACAATATGAGCTATAAACAGAAGAATAATCATTGGAACTTGGTATACATTGACTTGAAGTTTGGCATTGTCTTTTCAATTTTACTTTCTCTAAATTATAGTCTGATTATTCTGAAAAAAAAAACACATGTTATCTTTTATGAAAACCCCTTCCTAGTTCCGAGCACATGGACTTTTTAGACTTAATTAATTGATTGGAATCAAAATTTGACGTTACAATGAATTCCAAGTGTCTCATTTATATCAGCTTACAGCCTTACAATATTTGAATAGAAACATTGAAGGTCATTTTTTCTGATAGCAACACCCTTCAAGTTCTACACGTTGTATAAATTACATGAACATGGTATTCAATAGCTTACTTGTTTTCAGAAATATTTAAAGACGCAATGTGACGGCTGTTTGTATATTGATTGAAATACGTACATAATATATTTAATACTACTTGCATTAAAATATTAACATTGTACTAAATATTACATTGCAACATTTGATAAACTATCCATTTATATTAATTATTTGCATTTAAAATTTTCACCAATATGGAGAGGCCAACACTTGCCGGTGGAGAGCTGCTAATTTTAACCTTTGCTCGGCACTTCAGGTCATTGAGCAGTAAGGGATATTTTCCATGCGAACATTACTGCGACATGGGGCGACATATTAACGGTCTCATCCGAAGGACAGATAAGGAAACAAACTTAGAAATGTAAACCAGTTTTCGCATTTTTACAAATAAAAAGTCGCCTGTGTCAAATTTCCACAGCAACCAGTTTTAGGAAATAAAAATTGATATTTATACTTATTGGCAAATCATCCATGGAAATAATTCATTTAAAAAATGTTCGTGTCCATGGCATTGAATAACGTTAACGTTTGATTAAAGTAAAATATATCCAATAAGCTGTCCATTGTGTTATGTTGTCCTTTATGTATCATACAAATGTGAATATATATATAAAAACACAATGTATACAGAAATTCATATGCAATGTTTCGATATTTGGCACTTTTTGGATATGAAAGCAATCCAGTCGCTTAACTTTTTAATTAACGAGACAATTCACAGGAGACAATATAGTTAGCGAGTGTCCAAAACCATGATTTTCTCGATTTGTACTTAAACAGCAGCAATAATATCGCCACTTTCCCCAAAATTTTTGTAATCCAAAAGGTACATTGGTGAGTATACAATGGAGTATAGAAAGCCAATGCACAAAAAAATGGAGCATGAGAGAAAAGTTTACTAAGGGGCAAATAAAAATATCTCTCATCAAAAGTTTTAAATATTTCTTAAATGATAAAGAAGAAAAATTAAATCAAACAGCCAAATTAATTAAAAAATGACATTTCTGCCTTTCTGACTTTTTTTTTATTTTTAAGATTTATTTTATGCTAAAACATTAATATACTTTGATACACAGTAAATGCTTCTGATTATTTATTTAATTTTTAATTGATGCGCATGTGCAAAGGGATAATTTTCATAATGAGTTTCATTTGCAACACATCTCTTATCATCAGTTTACAGAAGTCAGCGTTACTGCCCAGAGCTGTCATTATGATAAAATATCAACTATTTTTACTTTTTGCAGTCAATCGTAAGTTCTTTTGCAACAAAGTTTTCACTGAGATTTATTCATTTAAACATAATTTGTTTTATTTAAACATTCTATAAACAGCCTTATTTTTTAAAATTTAAAATGGTGTGCTTTTGATACTAAATCATTAAACCACAGCACAATTTACCGATGGCGAGCTACAATATTAGACTTATACTCGGCATTTATGACCATGAGCAGTGTTAAATCTGGGCGACGATTGAAGGATTGGTAAAAATATTTTTGTACGAAATTATAAATTTTTGATATAATGTTTTAGTTTTATTTTGGATTGTAATCTTGTTTGAACCAATTATAACCGCTGAGTTCTAATTATTCTGCTGTTTGTTTTGTAGAGTTTTGCTTCACCTCTGCAGCATGCCCCAGTCATTGGATGCGATTTGCAAACAATTGTTATCTGTTTGTCATACGTTATCCTTTGGACTGGATTAATGCAATGGTAATAATATCTATATAGTACAGGATATTTAATAGCTGTTGTAGAGCATATTTGCACTAATCACATTAATTAATACGAAATAGCCCTTTTCTAGGATGGAAAGAGTTTGAACAGGTGGAAGCTTAAAAAACGTAAATTCTAAGAATTTTGCTTAGTCTTTTCATTATCAAAAGTTATTGGAAAAGATAACAGTTTTGAAAAGTAGGTCAAAGGTCAAATTCACTGGGTTAAAAATCATACTGTAATATTAAAGCTCTACCTTTTTCCTTTTAATAATTATGGATTTTTTAAAGTTTGCTGAAAAAAAACTTTAAAGGAAGGTCAAACTTAATGATGAAGGTAACAGGGTAAAAAATTATAGAGGATTTACATGTAGAAAGATCTTGTCATAAGTTATACACAGAGTGTGTTCATTTTGCTTAGTCCATACAAAATAACTGAGCGTGGAATGGCAAAACTAGGGAGTCGGACGTATTTTCTCGACCTCCTGCATTAAATGATTTTCTTGGGTATAACTATTTTATCTTTCATTAAATTAAAACAAAAATACAAAATTATGGATACAGGTTACTTGGTTAAAGTGCATGGAAAGGTGTCAATCAAACACGTCCAAAATTTCGCAGATTTGAAAATTTTCCATATTATAAAGGTTTCTATGTGCATTTTATAATTGGGTGTGAAATGCTGTAGCAACACATAAGAAAAGCAACACATATAAATTTATGTTTTAAAAAAATTATATAAGTTGTAAAACTGTGTCCAAATTCTCTAAATAAATGTACGTTGTAAGATGTTAAAGATTATTCTCTGTGGCCCATTTCATTTCATAATCCATTATTATGTAAGTTAAAAAAAAATTTAGTACACGTGCTGCATCTACTTCAGACCTTCTGTAAGGCGTACAGAGCAAAGTTAGCGGAGGTAAAATCAGCATCAGAGAACAACTTTCTTCAACATGAAGCCAGACGACTTAAAGGTCTGTTCAAATAAATTTAAATTCATTTGATTTTAAATTTTGCAGGCTAGTATTTGATCAAGTTTTAAATCTGACCATATATTACTTCTATCATTGAGTCAAATGCTGACTGATGTTTTTCATACGAATTGTTAGTCCTAATTTATACATTGAATTGACGACGGTTTTTTTCCGTTTTTCCCGATCATGACAAGGAGCACACGGCAAGTGTGACTGGTCAGCAGGGGATGCTTACTCCTCCATGGCACCTGATCCCGCCTCTGATGTTTCGAAGGTCCGTGTTTGATCTGCTCCTATTTTGTATTTTTTCATGGACTTTCATATTGAATAATGTTCGTTATCTTCATATCCTTCCAGCATGTTAGATACTTTCGACTTGGCTCTGTGTGTATGTAATGTCTAGCATATGTCTAGCATTTACTGTAAATTCTTGTCGCTTAAATCCCAAGCGAAAATATATTGCTTTTAAACTAAAAATCCAGACTTTGATCATTAAAGAATGACACAAACCAATAAAATATTTATTATTTGCGACGAAAACTTACTCATTAAATAAAACAATATTAAATTCCTTCAGAACGATTAATTTAAAATCATTTAACTCGAAGAAGGAAAAAAAGTCCTCTTTTTAGCATTCCATAATGGAATGTTAAATAAAATCTTACGAAAACAAACGAATTTTCCGTTTTCAGATAATAGGAATTCTTTTCCTTACTAACACTTTTCAAATTAATGTGAAGTCAAATCGAAAGTATTTCTGCTGACAATTTGAAATATAATACGATTTTGATTAATAAACAATGATCCATGCTGAATGAAGTAGATTTCATGACGCAAAACTTGTTTACAGTTACACATATCTTCAGCCAAAATCTCAGGCGGAACGAGCTTATTATAAAATGGCCTTTAGATGTAAGAGTTCGAGGTATATAAGGAGCGTAGGGAAGTTAATCATTTTTTTTAATGTGTAGAAGTAGATATATATTTACCCCTTCATTATCAATAACTGATAAATGATAAATAGCCCCAAGACTGATCACAATGAAAATAATATACTTAAGTCTAATCCAAGGAATTCCTTGGTTACATGGATTTATAGTGAAACGTTATAAATTGATTAATGTATTTAATTGTAATTAAATTAAAAAAAAACAATATTTAGAATTTATACAATATTATTTTCGCGGTCAAGTTTGAAGGTTAGTTTATATACATGTATAAGCAAGTTTTTCTCACTAAAAATGCTTGTAATGATAAATGACATTTTGGAGTTTAGGTGTAAGATTTTCTCGCTTTTTCTGCTTTATTGTTCTCTTTCATGTTCCTTGAATTTTTGTTTTCGTCTTGTGTTATATTGTTACTGATTTTTTCATTGCATTTGTATCTGTTCTATATTTGTGTCGGTGTAACTAATCTTTTTTTAGAAACTTAAAGGGGTCTTGATTTTCTAGGAAGTTTCTGGTTAGGGGCGACTGACGTCATAATGGAAGGGACATGGAGGTGGATAAGCACGGACACAATTTTATCTTATTCCGCCTGGTTACCCAAACAGCCTGATAACCACGAAAGTAAAGAACATTGTCTGCATCTGCTCAACACTTATCAGAGTAAATGGAATGATGTAGCATGCGACAAAAAATTTAATTTCATCTGTGAAAAATCTGCATAAATTTCAATGCTAGCAAAAGTTGCGCTGACATGGATGAAAAACATTTGGACAATCATTCCAAAAATATGCAAATATTTACATTTTCAATAAAAGTGTCTAATGTCTCGTATTTTTTGCTGCCAGTTTTAATTGATATTCCATGTTATCCTAACGGATCGTGTTAAAGAATTTTGTTGTGACATTTTTTTTCATTTAAAGACATTTCAACTGTCTTTAGTTCTGGAATTAAATTCTCATTCTTTTCAACGTAAATATTTTTACCAAGATTGATCTGCATAATTGTCGTTTATGGACATCTGTTACCAAATCAGTAACAATGTAGATATTGTATGTTTGTTATTGTAATGTATACCAAAATGAAAAATTAAAATTGTGTTCATTTACACTATTTTACAGATAAACGCCAAAAAAAAATCAATATTTGGATATTTAATGTTAACATAATTAGCTAAATGGGAGAATTGAGTCTAAAGTTATGGTTAAAGACCCTTTGATCTACATCATTTCACAAAATGTTACATCGATTTTCGTCTAGAGCTCTAGCATCAAATTCTAATGAAAAAAAGTATCATGATGAATGAAGCGCTGCTTATTTTTTCAGGAATGATTTTAGTATCAGCTCATAATTTTGAAGAAATTTTACCAGAATAAGAGGACGAGTAATAATATTTATAATCACAAGTCTTAAAAATGAGTGTATATTAAAATTATTTATAATGCCATACCTATTAAATTAATATTTTAAGGCGTAATTAAGACATATTTTTAAGTCAGAATATCGTGATAAAAAACAGCTCCTCGCACTTTTTAAGCTCGCATGGTTCTTTACACAAATTATGGTCACAATTTTCTTGTAAGAAAACTTAATTAAGTTCTAGTTAAAATAATCTGTCTTTGGAAGAAGCCCACACCACCGTTAGAATACATCCCATATACTTGCAATGTAGCAAATTTAAAGTGACCCGCTCCAATATAATTTCAAAGAATTCAGGAGGGACTCAAAGACTATATCATAAATGAAAATTATATGACAAATGAAAGCTTTTCATTGTGACGCAAAAACACAATGCTCCGTGACGTATTTTATAAAATGAAACTCAACAAAATAAGACGTAAACAACAAAGAAATGCATGGATTGCATTAGAATGGGAATTAATAAATTTCTAATTTGTTATTTGGACCGTTAATGCTGATTTAACGGTCGCAAACATCCGTTTTATCGGTTCGCTTACCTAAATTAAATACAAAGCCTAATTTATGTTTAAATGGACTTTATTTGAGGTTTTGTTTCCAGAACAAATTCAAAAAAATAATATGAACTAAATTTTGACGTCGGCATTGTTGCGCCGACATTTGATTTGTTTTTGTTTTTGTGTACCTTCGGGTAAATTTTTTTTTATTGAGACATTTCATTAAAATTTGTAGGCTTTATTTAAATAAGATTTGATCAAAATGTATGCCAACTTTTGATTTTATGGTCTTCATGAAAAAGAGGTATTGAAAAAACTGCGTTTTTCTTGGACAACCCTCGTTATTCACTACATTTCATATAACGTCTCTTTTTGATGAAGCATGTGAATATACTTTAATTCTTTTCATCCACGTTATGTTTTACTGAACATTGTCATATATCATGTTTATATCACCTGAGTTGGAATATTGTGGTCCAAAAAACATGCCAATAAAACATCCTGCATTGCACATGGGGGGATTTCCTGCTAATATGATTATTCAAATATATGGAAATGCCAACTTTTATAAAATCATTTCATTTGCGTGAATCTTTAGAATGCATTCTGTTAGCTTTTAAATATTCCAATGCCAATCTGTTCCAGAGACCTTATTTCTACCGTAACTGATTTAAATCACATGACTTAGCAGTGGATCAAGGTCTAGAACCAAGACCAGGAAGTAGATTGTCAGTTTACAAACGGTTAACAGGGAGCCATATTGGATTTACATGTAATTTTTTTTTATTGATATCAATTTGTCATAAAATTACAAAGGCATTTGCAAGTTTCCAAAAAGGTAGGAAAAAACAACTTATTCAAAAAGATAAATAACTAGATAATGTTAAATAAGTAAGAGAACATATTCTCTATGCTCTTTTAAACAAACACGTTGGACCCCAGAGAGCAATTCATTTATTTTGTTTTATTTTTCTGTATTGTATTGATCAAGCCAATTTATCTATCATCCTGACACAATACAACAGCCTGACCGAGAACCGACTCTTTCCCTGGATTAGTTATTTTTGTATAACTATATGTACTGTATGTTATACTGAATAACTATTGTATGAAAATTAGCGACATCAATCAACCAAACTTGTAAGAGATTTATTAGGACCCGACACTCCAAACCACACTTTAAGTAGATATGTTTTTTGCATAGAGCAGATTAATATCTGATTTGAATTATGCAAGTAGTTGTAGAGTGTTTCGGCTATAAAGAAGCCTCATCAGGGGTCACGGACATGAATCATGGTGTTTGTTTTAGGTGAGACCGGATTATCTCGTCACCTATATTCTTGTGTTTGCTGTAAGCAATGATTGGTTGAGAATGAAATAAGGTTTTGCATTCTGGATTTCTAAGAATGGTGTTCCAATATTTTAGAATTCGTTTTTTCAGTCCTTTAACGCAAGGGTTAAATTTAGTAACCAGTACTGTAGGGTTACGTAATGACTGTTCTTTAGTCTTTTTGATGATGAGTTTTGATCGGTTTGTGTTGACCGTTTCCTTGATCATAGGATCAATTTCCGAGATAGAGTAACCTCGCTTTGATAAGTGCGTCTTGAAGTCATTAAGTGTTGCATGTAATATTTCAGGGTCAGTAGTGTTTCTTGCATGTCTAATGCATTCTCCTTTAATGAATCCTTTAAACACAGCCGGGCTATGAGCGCTCTGTCTGTGTAGATACTGAAAGTTATTTGTTGGTTTGATATAGGACTTGATATCAAGTTTGTTAAAATTTTGAAATTTCTGTCCTTTATAAACTGTAGTATCAAGGAAGTTGACAGCAGATGGAGAAATTTCAAATGTAAATCTGAGATGCTTGTGACAGTGATTGCCGATATTAAAGAATTCTTCTATCTCTGGTTGCGTTCCATTGAATATTATGAAACCGTCATCACAGTATCTGCCGTGGAAGACAATTTTGCTGGCATGACGAAATTGTGCCATCATATGCTTTGTGATTTGATACATTCTAATGTCACAGATCTCTGGACTGGGGACTGCCCCCATACTTGCTCCTATTATTTGTTTGTAATATTTTCCATCGAATTCAAAGTAATTGTTTTCCAAGACGCATTTCAGTAAGAAGTTTAGATCCTCAGGGTCCGGATATGGAATGTCTATTTGCGTTTTATTGGCCTGTGTGTAAGCCTCATTTACTGATGAGAGAAGTTCGTTGAATTCCACGTTTGTGTACATGCTCGTCACATCATAAGTAATGAATAATGCGTTGGTTGGCAGTGTAAGGCTTTCGATTTTGGTGATAAAGTCCGTAGTGTCCTTAATATAAGTTGATTGTTTTTGTACAATAGGTACCAGAAAGTAATCGCAATATTGTCCTATTTTCCTCGTTGGTGTATCGCACTGCGAGATAATTGGTCTACCAGGTGGTAATTTCCTAATGCTGCACCGACCGTTTATTAGAGCATTGTAAATGTTTGCTGGTATTTGTGGGTTTTCGGTAAAAGGTATAAATGCCCACATTTAAGTGAAGGTTTTTTGTCATTAAGAAATTTGTAAGTTTCTTTGTCCAATGACCCATTTGAATGCATTTCGGCAAGTTTATTTTGAATGTTTTCATGCAGTTTGAGCATGTTGGGTTCAGATACTTGCATATAGTGTTTAGATTGCAATTGGCTTTGTGCTTCTAAGACATATTGGTCTTTGTTCATGATGACAATTGTGTTGCTTTTATCTGCTTTTTTAATAACAATGTCGTTGTTATTTTTAAGAGATAAAATAGCTTCTCTTTCAGCATTTGAGATGTTTGATCTCTTTTTTTACAATTTCCAAAGAGGAAAGTTCCAATTTTGTTTTATCTATATATTCCTCGAGTTCGCTGCATGTAAATGGCGGTTTGTAGCCAGATTTTGTGGTAAGGGGTGAATGGCATTGTCGTCTCCGGTATCAAAGTGGAATTTGCATCTGAGTTTCCTGGCAAATTCTTCAAAATCTTTGAGCAGCAGGCTTTTAGCATTGTCGCTTTTAGGCGTTGGAATAAATTTTAAGCCTTTGCTTAGAACTGAGAGTTCATGTTGTGATAAGTTGTATCTTGATAAATTTAAAACAAACTTTCCCCCTGTGGCCGTAGTTTCCTTGCAGTGAGCTTTAACTCCCCGTAAATAATTACGAGTGCGTTTAGCATTTTTGCATTGTTTACTCCGTCTATTTATTCGTCGAGCCATTCAAATAGAGGAGCAGTAGATGGTAAATATATTGTATATAGCGAGGCGCTATAGATCAACAATGAGTATTTCGATGAGGTAACGAATCCGTCTAATTATCAATAAGTGTTGATAGATTAGAGGATAAGAAGAGTATGTGGCTATAAGAAACCGATAGCCAGATTCCGTTATGGTCACGTGCGAGGGGGCGGTGTTTGTTTAGGAGCTGGTCCAATGGGTGGCTAATGCACACCAATTTTATAGTAATTAAATCCTGTGGATCTTAAGCCGTCTGATATACATAGTGTCATAAAAAGAGGCTAAAGTAAAGATCCGTCTTAGTATCATATGATGATAATAAGAGGATTAATATTTCACATAACTGTCCAAATCCTGAATGAAATCTTCTTGGTTTAAGCTGATCTGGTCCTTCAATATATCCTAGTATTCACAATCTGATATTCTCATGGTTTTCTTGCATCGGTACAAAGTAATTGAATGAAGGGCACTATTGTATGTGTATACTTGAGCAAGCCGAAGTATTTGATTATAAGAGAAGCGTAAAAGACAATCTTTGAAGTAGCAGTTCAATCCTTTACAAACATGTGCTGATTTGGTAAAGGAAGTGCTGGTAATAAAATGTCTTAGAAGACAATAGAAGCAAAGAGTGTGGCCGGATTGTTGGATGACTAAATAAACCACACAAGTCGATCGCTGTCCAAGGGAG